CTGATGTGGTCGTCGGATTCGCCAATGAAATCGGCCTGAACAAGAAATATATTTCTTTCCGGATCGCCGCCAAAACGCGTGGGTGTATGCGCCCTGGTGCATGGGAGCGTACCGTTCTATCTGTGGGCGTACCGGATGCGATGGCGGAGCGCGAGAGCGGCGGCAAGCGGGCGGCGGGGCCGCGGAGTCGGCAGCGTGCGACGCGCAGGACGTGCGCGACGTGGCTGTGCGCGTGGGACGTGCGTCGTGTGCGCGTGACGTACGTGTCTGAAGTGTTCGGGCAGCGCGGCGTCGCTTGCGGGGTGATGTGCGCGGACTCGGCCTGGGGTGTCGGGCTCGGTGGTCGAGTTTGGTCGAGTGCGCTCGCTCGACGCCGTTGCACGTCCGGGGTGTTGCCGTGGATGGTGGAGGGATGGCCTCTGCGGCTGGTGAGGGTGTTTTCCGGCCTGTACGGAGAGGCTTGGGCGGGTCCTCGGCATTCTTGTATGTGCGGCAAACTGAAAATCCGACTTTGTCAGCGCAAATCACGTCTGCATGAGCTGAAATCTTGCCTGGTACAAGATGCATGTAATTCTCACCGAGCTACATTCAGTGGGCAGCGGTCGGCGGGGGTGTCAGGGCGGGAGGAGGGGCCAATGGAGCCTTGGGGGCGGCTGCCTTGCCGACGGCACTCCTAGCGGAGGACGCATGGAGCGTCTTCGCGCGTTTCATATCATGTCCACGCACCTCTTATGCACATATACCCAGCACACAAAACGGGGGCGTTGAGGGGCGCGGGCGGTGGACGTCCATATTGGGCGAGCGGCAGGCACGCAGTGCCGACAGCGCCGGCGCCGCAGTTCCGCATTGCCCCACAAACGGCGTCGTGTGCATGCCCCGACAGTGTACGCGCACGCTCGGGACGATGCACGCAAGGGGCATCGTGCGGCTGGGCGTCGGCGTCGGCCATGTTGTGTGCGGGCGCGGTGTAATCGGTGCGCTGGCATCGGAGTTCGCGGCGGGCGGGCCTGGGCACGCACCCGAGTGGTGTGGCGGGTTGCCTAGACAGCGCCGTAGATTGGGCGCGGACGCCGGGGCAAGTGGGGCGGGGCGGGAGACGGCGGCGGACGGCGGTGGGGCCACAGGCGGTGCGCGCGGAGGACGTGTGCGGCGTCTTCGCGCATGCAACAGTATGTGAGGGCGGGTGCTATGAGCATATAGCCAGCTCGGGTAGGCGGGGCGTCGGGGCGCTCGGGTGGTGGGCGGCATTGTTGAGCGCGTGTGCGGGCGCGCGGTGCCGACGGCGTGGACGCCGCAGTTCCGCACCGGGCCGCGAGCGGCTTCGTGGGCATGCGAGGACGACGTATGCGTTGCTTTTGTGCTGTTCGCGCAAGGTGTACCGTACGAGGGCGTGCGGGCGTTCGAGTTTCGAGGCGCGGGCGACCTGTGAATCGGACGCTGTCAGTGCAGTTTGCAGCGGAGGATGCTACAAACGCACACGATTGGGGGCTGGCACAGCCTCTGTAGCGTCGTGCACAACGCAGACGCGTTCGTTGAGGCGGGGTGTTGCTGGAGACGGTAGAGTGAGTACGTAGAGTGCCAACGTCCGCAAGACATGGCGCGCGGAGGACGCCGGCGGCGGCTTAGCGCACGTAGCGGCGTGTTGCTCTGGGTGCGACGAGCGCATCCGCAGCTTGTGGGACGTGTCCGTAGAGGTTTACGGTTGGCACTTGTGCATGAGGGACGGGCGGCCGAGCGGCGTATGCCGATGCCAGTTCGTCGCAGCCTCGCGAGCGCCATCGCCGGCGCATCCGGACAGCATGGACGTGCATATTTCGTGCATGGACGCAGTCCGCCGCGCGCAATCTGGTGTGGGCGTGGGCGAATTACCGCGGAGGAGCACTCTAAATCGGTCATTGTGAGCGCAACTCGCCGCGGCAGAGGCTGAACGCTTGCTACAAACAAGTCCATCGTCGCAGCTATCGAATGGTACCGAGTGCCACGGTGCCGCTAGACGTGTGCGCGCGGGAGAGACGGAGGAGGTCGAGACGGGGTGGTAGAGTGCACACGGCGCACGCAGGGCGCATCCGCGGTCTGGCAAGCGTGCACAAGGCGAGCCGAGCAGTCGAGTGACGAGCGTCGCGAGAGGAAAGCAGCCATTCGGCGCCTAATGGTGGCGGCAGACGCGACGACGTCATCGACCGAGTGGCGTTCACGATCCCTCCCCGGACGCGCAGTGGCGGCAGGAGGGGAGGCGAGAGAGACGCGGGGCGAAGACGGGGCGTTGGCGTTGAGATCTGAGGAGTCGATCTGAGGGTCTGAGGGCCATGGTGGATGATAGCAGACGGGAAGTCGACGGTGGAGAGAAGGTGGAGGTTATTACAGCACAGTACACGCTTAGACGCCCTTGGATCTTGCTCCTCTTCAATTATCTACGTCAACATCGATCGCCATCTTTATCTGATTACCTACTATTTTTCCTCTCCGTCTTTATGCGTTTGTTACCCCTTTCTTGACTGCCAATAGAACTTCCCTATAAGCTGTCAGCAGAAGTTAATTGCTCCTTGAGCCTCGCGCGTCGCACGGCCTCTTCCTCATCGCCCGACGACGGCGACGCTCATCTCCTTGACCTCCGAACATGTTGCAGATGTCGATGAACTCTACCGCACTGCATCCTCTAGCTATCGGGAACAGCACCTCGGCCCCACGCCCCCCCCCCGGGAATCTGCTTGCTCAATCACGAATACGTCAGTCGTGCAAAGCTTCGCCCGTTTTCGCCGAGGTGGCTACATCGCGATATCCAGATACCTCTGCCGTGAGTCGCATCCATCACGCCTTCATCTCCGCCCGCACAGTTGTGGGGCTCCGATTTACAGCGTCCGGGGATGGATAGTTCCATTTGGAAACCACTCGGAACCCCCAGGCTATCCAAAGTTGCCTGAAGTAACCAGGGGTTCGGATGATCCTCGTAGGTCAGAGAATTGGCAACAAGGGCATTCAATGAGGTCTGTTTATACTTGGATGGATGTCCGCCGATTGTGCTATTCCATCATAATTCAGACGGTCATTCACTCTTGACGAGTTAGCTATGAACGCCGCCAGCTTCGCGCGGACAGAGGCCCGTGAAACTCAAGCCATAGCTAGAGTATATTGAACTCAATGTGCTTTGTAGCACGTCAGTATTCATACTCTTACTACCAGCTATGCTGAGATGCTTTCTCGCAGCTGAGAGCACATCTCAAGTGCTTCACAGACTTGTGTACTCGTCGCTACTAGAATTTGACCATAAATCCTATCTGATATACAGGAACACCCGCGGTGTATAGGGCCAGCTAACGTCCGGGCCCGGGATCGCCGCGGCACCTCGCCCACGCCGATTATTCACATCGCTTTGCTCATCCCCTCCGTGCGTACCTCCCACCCCGCTTTCGGAAATCCCGGTGCAGTACCCTTACTTCCGTCCCACCCCTCAGCCATCATCGCCATCGCATACAGCAGCGAACCGGAACCCGGGAAATACGGAGTCGGAACACGCACTCCGCCTACGGGCATCCCGACGTCGTCGAATTCGAACAGCGGGTGGAGCAGCCATTCTATCGCCTTCTCCGTCTCTCCGTTGCGCGCTGCGGACATCGCCAGCATGGGGAAGTCCCATCTGTGACGTGCGAACGGAACACGCTTTTCAGTGTCAATCAATGCTTCGGGAACAACAGCCACCTACCCCCAGCAGTTGCTGATGTTCCAACTCGTCCAAATTTTCTCCGCCGTCGCCTTGGCCATGGTCAAACTCACGTTTGCGGTTTGCGGCAACCATCCATACAAGCCCACCATGGCCGGGTGGTCGTTGGTGAACGTCGGCGTATCCCAAAAGTCGCTCGGGATCCCCTCGTAAACCGCGTACAGTTCGTCTTCGATCGGGAGCGGGGCCAGGTTGTCCTTCACCTCCGTCCACTCGGCCGGCACCGCTTCTCCCATTCTTTCCATCCAAGTGCTCGCGTGGTCTAGACCGAAACGCCAGTACGCCAACTCGAACGCCGGGTTGCGCGTCACGTTCGGGCTCGTGTCCTCACTCACGACGTACATCGGTGGGCCTAGATCGAAGAAGCCGGTGCTCGCGTTCCGGTGGGCATAGACCGCCATCCAATCCGCCGTCGCATGCACCACGTCGTGCCACTTCTCCAGCGTCGCCATCGACCGGGTGGCCCGATACTCGTACTCGGCGAACACGAGCGGGTGCGGCTGTTCCCAGATCAGGAGCTCGTTGATCTCCCCCGGGGCTGACCGCCCAGCTGGATCGGTCATTTTGGACCAGCGCGCTCCAGTGGAATAGCCTTGCTGGACTTGAGCGCGTTGGATCGCGGTGGGGAGGAACCGGGAGTAAACGCTGCTAGCGCGGTTGAGGAGGTCCCAGTTGTTCCAGAGCGCCCAGTGCGCACTGTGCCAGAAG